ATTTGCATTGCAGTAAAAATGAAGTAAAAGAACAAAAAATAACAAAGTAAATAATCCAATAAACAAATAAGAATTTTAACAAATTATCTATTTCATAAAACAATTATTTAACAAAACAAAATTAACAACTATCCATCCCTATTTTCCCCAAAAAAATTCTCCCTTAGATCTCAAATAAACTTTCCCAAAAGACAATAGCAAGGTTCTTTAGATTAACCAGATGACCTAATAGTCTAATTGTGTAACATCGGTTATGCGAATCGGTTCCGTCCTAAATTCTCGTAATAATAAGTTTAGCCGAGACTCGATGTCAGTCATTCAGAGTCTCTGTACTGAATGATTATTTTTTTTCGAAATGTCAATGAATGCGGAGGCGAAGTTGAACGCGTGCTCTGCCGAGGAGAAGGCTGACATGCCTTCCGGTGAAGATCGACGCCGTGAAAGAGACAGGCAGTCTAGTTACTAAAGGTGGCAAGCCTGGCAAATTGCTGATTTCGTGAACCATCTACCACCCACGTGTTCGACCTACCTACGCCTCGTTAAGCAATTATGTGAACATGATCGGGTCAAACGGGTTCGAGTTTTTTTCGATTCATCGACAACGTTTTTTGTCGTGCTTTTTTTGTTGCGATGGAGACTCATGGATATAGAGATTATCACACATGGTGTGGTGATTAAATCTCAGTATTAATTAATTAGGAATTGTTGGATTTATAGATTTTCAAATATGACTATTTTTAAGTTTCAAATTCCAAGTTCACCAACTTACAAATTCAGCACAAGTCAGATGTTTCAAATTTCAAATTCTTTAAGTTTCAAGTTCTATAGACTCCAAATTCCCCAAATTCCAAACTCCCCAAATTCCAATTTCTCCAAATTCCAATTTCCCCAAATTCCAAACTCTCCAAATTCCAATGTCCCCGAATTCCAAATTTACCAAATTCCAAATTCCCCAGATTCCATATTCCTCAAGTTTCAAATTCCCCAGATTCCACATTCTCCAAATTCCAATTTCCCCAGAATCCATATTCTCCAAATTCCAATTTCCCCAGATTCCATATTCTCCAAATTCCAATTTCCCCAGATTCCAAATTCCCTAGATTCCATATTCTCCATATTCCAATTTCCCAAAATTCAAATTCCCACAGATTCCATATTCATCAAATTCCAAAGTCCCCAGATTCCATATTCTCCAAATTCCAATTTCCCAAAAATTCCAAATTCCCCAGATTCTAGATTTCCTAAGTTCCAAATTACCCAGGTACCAAACCCCCCCAATTCCAAATCCCCCAAATTCCAAATTTCCCACATTCCAAACTCCCGAAATTCCAAATTCCCCAGATTCTAAATTTTGCAAATTCCCCAAATTCCTCAAATTCTCCAAATTTCCCAAATTCGGGACTCCTGAAATGTTAAATTCCCCAAATCCCAAATCCCCCCAAAATAGTGAACAATTATTCAAATCCATACTTTTCAAAAGTGCGTGTACAACATAATACTTCATCGCACTTAAAGGATTACGTCCCAACAAAGCGGTGGTTCGTTACAAAGAATTTCGTTACCGTCTACGATCAAAGAAGAAATATGGCGGATTTTATTGTCAATTTTTTAGCAAATTTGTCGCCGATATTGTCGGCGTTGGCAACGTTTTCAGAACAGTTGCGAAATGCAACATTGGCTCGAAAGCGAAGCAATGTTTCGAACGAGAAAATAGGTCGCATTTAAAAAAGATTTACTCGGTTTAAAAGACTCGTAACGCAGTAAAATGTTGCACGTTCAATCTTTAACACCTTGCACTTCAACTTCGCTGTCAAGATAATGGTTGTCGACCACCAATATGCGACCTGTTTTCTTTGAACTTCTCTTAGCGATCCTCAAATACGTCGTATCCACAGGACATGATAAATCATGGATTCCAAATAAAATTAATTATTTTCGCTCGAGATACATTCAGTGCAGGTACATGCACGACGAAAAGATAACGTGTTCGTTTTCCTCTTAAATCTGCTTCACGAGGTATTCACCAAGTTGCTTATTTATGTACAAACATTTGAAATCGAATTTCTTAATTATACGTTTAAAGGTATAAGACCGATTATCCAATCAGTCGGATATTTTCGACTTTACTTTAATCGCCACCTTAATTAGTTATTACTGACAGATCGATACCGCAATGGTTCATTTGTAAAAATGCAATCGGTTTCGATCTTTATTTCGGACTTCAAAGATTAATGCGTTTCGGTGAAAAATTGCGTACTAATTTTATCGTATCTGATTCGATTGGAATTAATTTGAAGGCAATTTGAAGTGAATGTAAATTGATTTTCGAAATTTTTATCGTGGAATTATGTGTATTCTGATGGAAGTATAGTCTTCAAGAATTTTAAAGTTTCAAACATTATAAAAATTCAAAAAATCAAAAAGTTAAAAAATCAAACATTCAAAACGTCAGAAATTCGAGAGTTCAAAAATTCAATGATTCAATGATCCAATGATTCAATAATTCAATAATTCAATGATTCAATGATTCAATAATTCAATGATTCAATAATTCAATAATTCAATGATTCAATGAATCAATGATTCAATGATTCAATGATTCAATGATTCAATAATTCAATAATTCAATAATTCAATAATTCAATAATTCAATAATTCAATAATTCAATAATTCAATAATTCAATGATTCAGTGATTCAATGATTCGATAATTCAATAATTTAATAATTCAATAATTCAATAATTCAATAATTCAATAATTCAATAATTCAATAATTCAATAATTTCGAAATCCTAAAATCCCAGAATGTCAAAACTAAAAAATTCCAAAATTTGAATATTTTTAAATTTCAAAATTCTAAAATTAAAAAGTTCCAAAATCCTAAAACCCTAAAATCTAAAAATCTAAAAAAATTAAAAATTCCAGAAAAGATGAACCTCTTTCCTCTTCATATATAACTTTTTCAGGGTAAACCGTGCTTGAGACACTGCAGGGTTATCGAAGCAACAGATTAATTTCCAAATTCGTTAATCGACCATGAAAGTAGCACCGCGAGCACATGAACGAACGATAGCGAGAGTAACGAAAGCAACTCGTTCGTGAAACAGTCGATCGAAGTGAATGGGATCCCCTCTTTTTCCTGTTCTCCCCAGGGCATTCGAGGTACACACAGTTCTTTCTGGACGAGTCAAGAACACGATTGCTTTTGTCCATTCAATGAAATCAAACAAATGCGAGCCGGTAAACGATTTATCACTCGGGCAACGCGTGAAAGAGGCACCGCGAAAAATGAGATACTCGAAATGTTAGCAGCGAATCATTAACTGTTCATTTTCTATGAATACGTATATGTTCATTATATATTTTCTGTGATTTTGAATTTTTGTATGACAATTTAGTATGAAAGTTAATTGGGAAATACAATGGAGATTAAATTGTGTGAAACGTGTATTGAACCTTGCACTATTTTGACTAGTCTCGTGTTGCACTTCATGAACAATTTTACTTGAATTAATACACTTTGGAAAAGTTCGAGTTCAAGTTAAAAGTTTGCATATATAAAGATTGTATAGTACCAAATTGACATGACATTTTAACTTTGTTTTAATATCAAACTACTTAATTTTGTTTTTGCACATTCTTGTCATTTACAAATGTAATTGTAATATTGTACCATTCTCAAAAAAAATGGTCGAAACGTATCCTTTACAAAATAATTTTTAATTTAAAATCCTTTTAACTGTTTTAACAAGTTGACCTCGACAGCATATTCTACATCTTTCAAACCAAAACTGAAGTTAAAGTTAAATTCTGGTTATACTTATTCAAAGGTCAATCAACCTAGCGTATGTACTCCATACTTTCAGTGCCATTTATTTTCTTCTACCGTTCTATAAAACGGTAATGTACACGTTTTTATTCGACGTTGTTTCTTTTGGGTCTCATCATTTCATGGTTCTTATTTCTGACAATTAAACAATCAATCAAAGTTTTGTTTTTGAATCGAGCACTTTAACATGTTGGATGTGTAATTTGTTACGCGTCTTCCTACGAACTCGTGATATTTATTACTTCCTTAATTACGACCTTAAATTCAACGATAAATCTTGTCGTATTGCTGACTCCTGCTTACGGTATTCTTACAGCTACTATATTTTCCCATCTCCGAGTGTTGATTGTTGTATTTTTAGCACTTAATTTGCAGTTTCGTTATCTTTTGAATAACATTATTTCTGTAACTATATTAATGAACTTTCGTATCGCATCGAATCTGATACAGGTACGATCATTTCATTTTATTTCATTTCATTGATTTTATTGATTTTATTGATTTTATTGATTTTACTGATTTTACTGATTTTACTGATTTTACTGATTTGATTGATTTTATTGATTTCATTATTTGCAGTTTCGTTATCTTTTGAATAACATTATTTCTGTAACTATATTAATGAACTTTCGTATCGCATCGAATCTGATACAGGATTGATTTCATTGATTTCATTGATTTCATTGATTTTATTGATTTTATTGTTTTTATTGATTTCATTGATTTCATTGATTTCATTGATTTCATTGATTTCATTGATTTCATTGATTTCATTGATTTTATTGATTTTATCTTATAAATTAGGATCGTTTAAAAATCTGTACTGAAGCTTCTGATTTTGTTATTTCGTACAAAAATCCAATAATTGATAATACGCAATCACTGTACAAGTTGATAAGATTTTATCAATCTTAGGTGGAACAACGAAATGGTATGCTGACAATCATGTATCATACGAGAACATACTTGTTCGATAGCGAATTATTATCGTTTCGCAACTATAAATTAAAACCACTATGATTATCAATATTTAATCTGCTTCCTCTTATATGATTTCCAATACGCACCGACCGTTGTACCATTACAAGGTAAATTAAATATTCACATCTGCTCAACAAACGTGCACAAACATAACATGCAAAATAAGAAAATATTTATACACGGACTTACGTGTGCCAAACTCGCGACCGCAAGGCCAAAGGTGAACGCGATGTGCACCACCGTGGGTGGAGAACCCGGCTCCCATGTGACACAGGATGCACAACCGATCAACACCAGAAGAAAGGTTCCTAGAGCCTCGGCGAACAGCATCACCAGAAACTCGACCTTCGTCACCTCTTCGAAGCCGACGAAGTCCTTTGCACCTGCACAGAGAAATAAGAAAGCGTTAATTAAGCACCGAACAAGCGGTAAAAACGATCATTTTTACTGTTTTCTTTGAACGATCGCTGGCACGTGTCAGAACGTGACGATGTTTCTATGGACGTCGCAGATGATTTATTTTACCGAGATCGATTTCGATTCGGATTTTACTCTTATTTTCTTTCGTTCTCGTGGAACGATTACGTCACTGGAATCAATGGTACGAATGACGCAAAGTTCGGGCATTGCATAAAACAAGACCAGAAAGTGTAAACAAATTCCGAGAGAAGCTTTTTCGCGAAGTGACGGTGTCGAAACGTTAGGTATTCCTTGAATGCTTTAGACAGTGCGTTGTCAAAGTACAGTGATAATTGATAGTTAAATATTTTTCGTACCGTTTGATGCGTCACTTAATGCGCGGCGATATAACACGTAGTCATGTAACGGGTGGCGATGTAATATTAAGTGATTTAATGCAAGGTCATTTCGATGCTTGTTGATTTGATGCGTGGTAATTGTGGCGCATGCTGACCTAACGCGTAGCAATATTACAAGTGGCGATATAACATGTGGTAATTTAATGCGTAGTAATTTTGATAGGTAGTGATTTAATACATGGTAATTGCGATGTGTAGCGATTTCATACGTGGCAATATAACGCGCGGCGATATGACGCATGGCAAATTCAATGTGTGGTAATATAATGCCTGGCAAATCGAACGCGTGCTAATACAATGCGTGGCAAATCCAACGCATGGTACTATAACGCGTGGCGATATAACGCGTGGAAAATTCAACGCGTGGTAATACAACGCGTGGCAAATCCAACGCGTGGTAAATCCAACGCATGGTAATATAACGCGTGGTGATATAACGCGTGGAAAATCCAACGCATGGTAATATAACGCGTGGATAACGCGTGAAAAATCCAACGCATGGTAATATAACACATGGCAATATAATGTGTGGCGATATAACGCGTGGAAAATCCAATGCGTGGTAATACAACGCGCGGAAAATCCAACGCATGGTACTATAACGCGTGGCGATATAACGCGTGGAAAATTCAACGCGTGGTAATACAACGCGTGGGAAATCCAACGCGTGGTAATATAACGCGTGAAAAATCCAACGCGTGTTAATATAACGCGTGAAAAATCCAACGCATGGTAATATAACACATGGCAATATAATGTGTGGCGATATAATGCGTGGAAAATCCAATGCGTGGTAATACAACGCGCGGAAAATCCAACGCATGGTACTATAACGCGTGGCGATATAACGCGTGGAAAATTCAACGCGTGGTAATACAACGCGTGAAAAATCCAACGCGTGGTAATATAACGCGTGAAAAATCCAACACGTGGTAATATAACGCGCGGAAAATCCTACGTGTGGTAATACAACGCGTGGCGATATAACGCGTGGAAAATCTAACGCGAGGCAATACAACGCGCGGTAAGTCCAACGCGTGACAATATAACGCGTAGTACTACAACACGTGGCGATATAACGAGTGGCAATCCAACGCGTGGCGGTATAACACGTGGCGACATAACGCGTGGCAAATCCAACACGTAGTCTTTATAACACGTAATAGAACTCGATAATCTAACATGTAATATTGCCAAAAAACAGCAATAACAGATAATATTTTTCATTATTAAATCTGAAGAGCTGTTAATCTTTTAATCTCTAATTTAATCATAATATCTGAAAATTGAATCTTGATACCTAATCAGTATTTAGTAAGACGATAAAATATCGTTAATAGATGTCAAAACTTTGTTCTGTCGTGTTACCTACGCTTTCGAGCATAAAACAGCAGAAAAATGAAACAGCCACGTACAACGATGATAAGAAATCAAGGCGGTGGGAAATCTCCGTAGAGCTCACAGTAAGATGAAAGTTCTAGACACTGAAAATAGGAACATTTGTGTCATGTTTCATCACTTGTACAAACGGTTTTACCGTTTAAGTCCTTTTATAATGAGCCGTGTACCGTGAAGCGACAGAAATGTTTCCTGTGTAATTTATTATCGAACCAACTGCTGGAAACAGGGATATCGCCGATATGCGTGTTCACCATTTCTAATTGTTCGAAACTTTGTTCATCATGAAAGACTGGAATATTATATGGTTAATATTGTTTCGGACCATTTATGCTTTCAACGTGGTATTTACAGAAGGGGGACACGCTTAGCTATTATAGTGAGATGCACATTTCTAAATTTCTATATTCTTATGTCCTTGAATCAATACTTTTCTTATTCTACGTTATTGTTAGGTTCTTTTATTTCTGGTGCATCTCTAGATTTATAGATCTTTACCTAGGTTCCTAGATCTCTAGATTTCTGGATTTCTAGATTTCTATATCGTCAGGTTGCTATATATCTAGATCCCTACATTCACAGGTCTCAACATCCCCCAATTCCTATATCCATAAATCACATTTTTCGACTTCTATATTTCTAGATTTCTATACTTCAAAATTCCTACATCCTTAGATTTCTGAATTCCCAGATCCCTATATCTCCTGATCTCTATATCCCTAAATAGCTGTATCTCTAGATTTCTATAGCTCTTGATTTCAATTCTCCAGTATCCCCATATCTTCAGAACCCTACACCCCTATACCTCTACATCCTGATCCTTGTATTCCTATACTCTCAGATTTCTACATTACATCCTTACATATGCAGAATACCATATATCATACACTACATAAGTCCACATGCGTAGAATACTACATACACATACACACATCATATTTGTATATTATATACATACACGTGTCATATGCCATACACATGCATGTATTATCTGTTTTTCATATGTATGTATAGACATGTGACAGCATACATATATTTCATACATAATGCTAGACACGTGGAGTATAGGTCTCTCACACATATTATACACATGTGAAGACGTATATTAAACGTTCATGTATATTGTACATATGTGAGGGTGTGTATACTTCTACATACTATTATAGACATATGAAGGTATATATTATATGTTTCTCATGTATGAATATGTGAAGGCGTTACGTTTTTCGTATACATTTATATACACGTGAAAACTCGTGTAAACTTATGAATATGTGAGAGTATGCATCTTCCGTATACATTTCTAGACACGTGTGAATATATGCCTCTTAATATTTATAGGGACACGAGTGTGTGTATATGGTTTCTACTATAAATCTGTGTTACATACCCTTCCAGCCCTTACTCATTCTTCTAATACAACAAGCAGAGTTTCGTCGAATTAACGTTTCCTCCGATCTGCCACCCGTGTTCTCGCTTTCCACAGTAACAGTCAACGCCAGCTTACTGTTCTTTTCACTGAAACTCGTCCAACACCACCCGTGACTATCGATCACCGATCACCGATCACAACTCTTCTTCCCGTGTTGCGCCGAGACAAAGGGTTGTTTCGAAAGAACAAGACAATGCCGAACAACTTATCACCCTTTATCGCGATCTCGTTCGGCGTGACGAGCAACTTCGAAGCAAACCGACTGCGACCACGTTCCAGAAGAAGAGGAAATATGTAGAATTCGCGATGTTTCGAATGGTACACACCACGTGGGATCTCTGGGCTATTGAGTCTGCGGAGCGCGAGTTTCGCCTTCATATATCGCTGTTCTCCACTGCCGTCCTCCCCACAATCGACACGCGAATCCCCCCTTTTTTCACCTCCTCCACCTCCGACTACTTCGACGGCGTGGCCCCGCTCGAAAACTCATTCAAAACGGTGGGTCGTTTTTGTGACCCGCTCCTGGGGGTTCTGTAGTATCCTTGACACGATACAGGATAATGTAATTCGAGAGATAATGGACCCAGTGGGATCGTTTTTGGCGCTAGTCGAAGGGAACTAGATCTGCTTTTCATGGAATGTTACTTGGTATTATTTTTAAATTATATTATATTTTGGTATTATATTTAAATTATATTATATTTTATTTTTTGGTACAATTTTATTAGATGTTATAGGGTGGTGTTTTTTGTTATTTATAGTTAGGGGTTAAGTAGTACAATAATTCATAATTTTTAATAATTTGGTAATGGCTTCAGGTAACATGTAATGTAGGTAAATATATTGATTAAACAAAAGTATATGGGTTTCGTAGTCCCTATGGAAGTGCGTATTGATAGGTATGCTATATTTATCCTGCATATACTTTGCATACATTTTGCGTACACTTGGATGTTCGCATATCACACTTCCGCAGTGTAGAAATGATAATTGCTTGCACAGAAATTTAATGAGAATTATTAAGATACACGTGTCCGGAATTGGATAGTAACAGAAAGTGAGATCAGTGATGTGAAATTAAGAATTTAACACCTGATCAGTTAGTTAAGTTTGGAATTAGGAATTTTGGGCTTTGGGAATTTGGGATTTGGGAATTTTGGGATTTGGGAATTTTGGGATTTGGGAATTTTGGGATTTGGGAATTTTGGGATTTGGGAATTTTGGGATTTGGGAATTTTGGGATTTGGGAATTTTGGGATTTGGGAATTTTGGGATTTGGGAATTTTGGGATTTGGGAATTTTGGGATTTGGGAATTTTGGGATTTGGGAATTTTGGGATTTGGGAATTTTGGGATTTGGGAATTTTGGGATTTGGGAATTTTGGGATTTGGGAATTTTGGGATTTGGGAATTTTGGGATTTGGGAATTTTGGGATTTGGGAATTTTGGGATTTGGGAATTTTGGGATTTGGGAATTTTGGGATTTGGGAATTTTGGGATTTGGGAATTTTGGGATTTGGGAATTTTGGGATTTGGGAATTTTGGGATTTGGGAATTTTGGGATTTGGGAATTTTGGGATTTGGGAATTTTGGGATTTGGGAATTTTGGGATTTGGGAATTTTGGGATTTGGGAATTTTGGGATTTGGGAATTTTGGGATTTGGGAATTTTGGGATTTGGGAATTTTGGGATTTGGGAATTTTGGGATTTGGGAATTTTGGGATTTGGGAATTTTGGGATTTGGGAATTTTGGGATTTGGGAATTTTGGGATTTGGGAATTTTGGGATTTGGGAATTTTGGGATTTGGGAATTTTGGGATTTGGGAATTTTGGGATTTGGGAATTTTGGGATTTGGGAATTTTGGGATTTGGGAATTTTGGGATTTGGGAATTTTGGGATTTGGGAATTTTGGGATTTGGGAATTTTGGGATTTGGGAATTTTGGGATTTGGGAATTTTGGGATTTGGGAATTTTGGGATTTGGGAATTTTGGGATTTGGGAATTTTGGGATTTGGGAATTTTGGGATTTGGGAATTTTGGGATTTGGGAATTTTGGGATTTGGGAATTTTGGGATTTGGGAATTTTGGGATTTGGGAATTTTGGGATTTGGGAATTTTGGGATTTGGGAATTTTGGGATTTGGGAATTTTGGGATTTGGGAATTTTGGGATTTGGGAATTTTGGGATTTGGGAATTTTGGGATTTGGGAATTTTGGGATTTGGGAATTTTGGGATTTGGGAATTTTGGGATTTGGGAATTTTGGGATTTGGGAATTTTGGGATTTGGGAATTTTGGGATTTGGGAATTTTGGGATTTGGGAATTTTGGGATTTGGGAATTTTGGGATTTGGGAATTTTGGGATTTGGGAATTTTGGGATTTGGGAATTTTGGGATTTGGGAATTTTGGGATTTGGGAATTTTGGGATTTGGGAATTTTGGGATTTGGGAATTTTGGGATTTGGGAATTTTGGGATTTGGGAATTTTGGGATTTGGGAATTTTGGGATTTGGGAATTTTGGGATTTGGGAATTTTGGGATTTGGGAATTTTGGGATTTGGGAATTTTGGGATTTGGGAATTTTGGGATTTGGGAATTTTGGGATTTGGGAATTTTGGGATTTGGGAATTTTGGGATTTGGGAATTTTGGGATTTTGGAATTATGGAATTGGGGAATTATGGAATTGTGGAATAATGGAATTGGGGAAATATGGGATTTGGAAATTTAGGGTTAGGGGACTTGGGTATTGGGGAATTTTGGGATTGGGGAATTATGGAATTGGGGAATTATGGAATTGGGGAATTATGGAATTGGGGAAATGTGGAATTGTGGAAGTAGGTATCGGGAAATTAGAGATTCTTAAGAATTTTTCTTAGGAATTTTTTCCCCAAATCCCTAAATATCCAACTCCCTAAATGCCCAAATCCCTAAATTGCTCAAATAGTTACAATTACGATGATAATTAAAGGGATACACGTCAATGAATAACGAATCAATTTATCAACGTTTCACTGACGTACAATGCAGAGATAAGAGAATGCAAAGGAATCTGCTACACCGTACGCCAAGTAGCCTTACGTAATTCATAATCAGAACATAAATAATGGAAATCACTAATTTCATTAAAAAATGAAAAATCCATAAATAAAAGTGAATTTGTGGGAATCAGTTTCTTAATCGAATTCCTTAATTTGCAATCCGTGGGATAAAAATCGTGTATACGGGCGGTTCATCAAAGTAGAATATTTTAAATCTGTTCAGTTATATTTGAATTGGCAGACAAACTTAAATGTTCATTGATAAAATAATGCGTCACTCGAATGTATGTACATACGTAATACAAATATCTATATGATATGACAGTGATGTAAAAGCGACATCCTACAACTATCTCAAGCAAAAGTGATAGTGAAAGAATTTGTAGAGTTATGAATTGCGTAAATGGAAAAATTGTAAATGGAATTTATTTATCTGAATTGCAAATTATGAAGAACTTCATTTACTAATTGATTATAGGTATAGAATTATATAACTTTCAAATGGAAATGGGTCTAATTATTTCTTAATGAAGGATAATGTGTAAAGATAAGGAGTTACAATACTTAATTCTTTGATGGTTATTGAAGTAACAACGATTTCATATTTTTATTGTAAAAGGCATACTATATTCTACTTTGATAGATCAAATTCTCACATCCTTAACTATTTATATCTCAAAATCACCTGGTAACTAGATTACCAAATTTTAATATCTTTAACATCACCCATTATAAAAATAATGCTATTATACTTAAAGATTTATCACTATTAAAAATGATACTAAACCACAAAAGTAGATTCTTTTATAAAACCGTATCGAAGTAAATGAAACCGTAACACGCATTTAGAATATTTATCCACCGCAACGTCGTAGGAATACGTTTATTTTAGTCACAAAACGTATCGATCTCAAATTATAACCGGTTGTGTCAGCACCGGACGAGATGTAATGAAACATCTGTTTTGAATTGCAAAAATGTTATCAAGATTCGAACGAATCGCAAACCACGAATTTCCTGTCCAATTTTGCACGCTGTCTGTAAATCCCTGATCGTCAGCTACAACTATCCTAGTTCTTTCGATCTCTTTTTACCGCTCATCCGGTCAGATTCTTACATAATCCGTGTTTGGATTTAGTTTGAAAGAGGAAGGCGATCGGGCACGTTGTGGAGCACGTTGTTTCGTGGGAATCATGCGAAATGGTCTTCAACTTTATTGGAACGATACTCCTTAATTACAAATTAAATCAATTTCGACTGCGACATTATAGTTTTATAGTTTTATACACGAACATTGAAGTATCAAGAAATATGTTAATTTAACCAAACAACAATTTAACCTTCGAACAATTGTTGTTTTAACCTAAATCATTGTACAAATGTTTACAAAATATTTATCCTCCTATAAAAAATAAAACAGCATTTAGAATTTGTTTAAAAATATGTCCAAAACATTTGCTAAAATATGTGTCTAGAATTAAACTGAGACTTTGCAATATGTTAAAATATGCTTGCTTCAATGTAAGAGTAGAAGTACTGTTAAATAGCCACCCGATAATTGTCTCCCCTTTGTGTACCTGTACTAGACATGCACATCTTTCATTTTGTTCTTGTACAAGGATTATACGTCTTCCATTTTGTACTTACACAAGGAATGTATATCTTTTACTTTGTTCATGTACAAGAACTTTTGATTCAGATGTGAGAACACCATAATAATTACTCTTTCAGAAAGTCCCTCTTGTAGAGCCCCAAACACGAGAAATTATCAAACGTAGATGTGCACTAAATCGATGTGTACTAATCCTAAAGGAATCTTAAATATGTATAATATACAATTAGATAATCAACTTCATCTAATTTAATAGTTAATGTAAACCTATATAAGCTAATATCTAAATGTCTACAATGTAACAATCAAATTAAAAAATCTAATAAACTAAATGACCTAATAACCTAAATAACCTAAACAACCCAAATAACCTAAACAACCTAAATAACCTAATTAACCTAAATAACCTAAATAACCTAAATAACCTAAATAACCCAAATAATCTAAATAACTTAAATAACCTAAAAAAACCTAAATAGCCTAAATAACCTAAATAACCTAAATAACCTAAATAACCTGAATAACCTAAAAAACCTAAATAACCTAAATAACCTAAATAACCTAAATAACCCAAATAATCTAAATAACCCAAACAATCTAAATAACTTAAGTAACCTAATAATCTAAACAACCTAAATAACCTAAATAACCTAAATAACCCAAAAAACCTAAACGACCTAAATAACCTAATTAACCTAAATAGCCTAAATAGCCTAAATAGC